TCTATATTTTTACCTTATATTTTTACCAGAACAACACAGGCTGAAAATATGCTGATCATACCATTCAGTAACATCAAAGACTTAACCCTTGTATTACAGTCGGATTACTACAGATGGACATGTTACGAGCCTAAAACTTAAGTATAAGAATTTTTGTAGCATCTGCTAGCCATTGAGCCCACTCTACAGACCAGTTGTTCCATGAAAGCCTGAGATTATTGAACACACTTTCCCAGAAAGTTACCCTAAGGTTTCATGGGATCGAGCCTTTGATGATGCCTATACTCTCCAGGTCAACATGGAATTTAATAAATGTAAAAACCAGGTCAATTACAATTCCTAATGTAAACCTTTACTAAGAAGAAAGGTATGTCATTAGTGTACCTGAGATCCCTTGCTACTCTAAAAATTTCCCCACAGGGTTTCCTGTCCTGATCAGCAGGGGCAGATGGACCCTCTCATTAAAGTGACCGCAGTTGAAAATGAGAGCAAAATGAGGCCCATTACCATGCAGGCGTGACTAATATCCTTTTGCAGACCTCTCCACACACTCTGCTCTCACATGCACACGCATCTCCCGTGCACACACAAGTTGTATTAGTGCGCAAAAAAGAAAGGCCAGATGTGCACGTTATGATGCTCGTTAATCAATAAGGGTAACTGAAACTGAAACAAGGGGAAGTTGGTAATAAACTTTGACTCTACAATATTGACCAGATCTCTGGCTACTCTGTGGGGGGTGTCTGGAACCCACTATGGAGTGCATATACAGATCTCTGTGAGAGTGCACATGTGTGCATGTTCCTAATGGTCCCTGATGTCATTAATGAGAAATACAAAAACTGACTCGGTCCACACATTCACCTTATGAGACTATTTCACCATCATTACCAACCCTTTCTAACTATTTTTACATAGTTTACATGAGTCTTATGGCTTAGATTTATGCATTCCTTTTGCTTTTTGGTCATAGAAAGTACTGCTGTTGCAGATTTTCTGTTTTTGTGATTTTTGGAGTTATGGCCAGACCTATTGCTGCCAGTTTTAATATGCTTTCCTGAATGCAGCTTTTCCTGTCACTACCTTGTCACTTTTTTCCCCCCCATAAAAGGTTCCAGTGCTTTTGTATTTCACTGTGTTTGATTCACGGATGGAGTCGTTTATGAAGCTTTGGCTGCCATTACCTTCACCTTCTACTTTTTTCCCCAGTAGGAAGCACTCCTGACCCAGTGCTTCTGTGTTTTTCAGTGTCTTCTTCCTGTCTTCCTCTCAGCCCTTTGGTAGTAATGGAAGATGGTTGTTCTGAGGGAGCATGGTTGTACTGGAAGTTTCTTTCTGTTAAAACAGTGTGGTTCCTTTCCTCTGCTGGATAGATTGGATAGATTCAAATTGCATCTGGAGCAAATTGGATCGAATCTAATTGGATAAGAATTTGTCCCTTTTGTCTTGTAAATTGCTTTGATATGACATTTGTTGGGACATGATGTTGTATATATACACTGAACTGAATGGAGAAGAAAAGTACATCATTTACGTCATGTGATTCTCACCAGCACTTTCATGACCTTTCAATATTTTGCAATAACGAATCCACCAGGGTCCTTGCTTAAAATGTATTATTTATCCACAAAAATCATCCTGACCCTAACCCTTTCTATCTCGTCAAGTATGTTTCCTTTTTCTGAGATTTCCATGTACAATCTTTGTTTGGATCGTCATTGTCTAATTTTTTCTTCACTCCAAATTTCTGACAAAATACTCCCTCCCTTCATCTCTGTCATACCCTAACTTCTTCTCCCACATCACATTCTACCGTATTGCCTCTTTCGTTTTGAGCGTTCTAAATTGCCTTTTGCGATCACTTCTGCTGATTGATTTATAACCTTGCAACAGGCTGGTAGACGGAGGGAGGAGAAAGAGCGAGGAGGATCAAGAGAGAGGGAGCTTAGCAGGAACAGGGCTGTCGGGGTGTTTGAAGTACATGAAGGAGTAATATAAAATACACCTGGTCCATCCATGGGGCACTCACTGTTCCTAGAAACAAAAGAAGGGGAGAGGGACACCGGGGAGGAGAGTGGAGAGGGTCGGTCCACAGGGGAGGGAATGGGGTCTCTCAGTTTTTCCTTTCAGACTGGCTTTTATGGTGTTACTTCAAACGCTGACCTCCTACCCACCCCCCTGCTCCCTCGCTCCATTCGTCCATCCATTTGCGCCTCCCTCCTCTTTCTCACTATTGTGTATGGCCAAGTGGACAGTAATTGGCTATTCTTTCATGAGGCTGATCTCAGCAGCCCCCTATACCCCAACAGGAAGGGGCCCTTTAGCTGCCTCTCAGAAGTAAGTGTATACGTGTGTGTGTGTGTGTGTTGTAAAATATGCCAGACATTTAGGTATCAGGTGGTTTTAAGGACAGAGGGGTGGCTGTGCTGGCATTTCATTCATAGCAAACTCAGGAATTTAAGGTAATCTCATCATGTTCCGACACAGGATTTTATGAGATGCCAAATGGGTTTAAGAATCAGCTTAGACGTGTTAAAATGATCTTTTTTAATATTTCTTCAATTAGATGCTTTAAGCTTGAGAACATTGTGTTCAAGAAAAAAGAAAAAGACGTCTAAAAAGGCAGCTGTCTTGGCAAGATTTTATTTCATGACACCAAGGAGTGCTTGCCTAACTTATTCATGAAATAAAATGTGTTGTAAAAAAAAGATGAGTGGTTTTGAAAAGGTTTTCAACAGTTTACAACATCTGAGAGTATTGTGAGTGATATATAAAAGCCGCTCTACTCTCGCTAATGACTTCTGGCCCTCGGTGGCTTATAGATCAGTGTGTGTTCATTAATGATGCAGGCGTGCGCAAGTGTGTGTGTGTCAATTAGTGGGTGGAAGGGATTAGCTGTCTCCAGAGATTCCTAATTAACACAACACATGCAGGCAAAACTGTGCTTTTTTTCCAGTTTTCCACTGATTCTTTACCTTTTTATGTGGTTAGTAAAACTTTAAACTGACAGAAAGAATGCAGAGACAAGTAAGATTAGAGAAAATAAAGATTACCAGTAAAGCGTTAGGTTTTTTTTTTTGCAAATTTCTCTAACACTAGTAGCAGACAGATGTCATTGCTCTGCCAGTTTGAAGAAAATCTCAGGGAAACTGAATGAAAAACATGCATAATGCGTTCATTTTGCATACAAACCCAAACATGCAGTTTTTATTTTGAAAAATTAGCTTTCGTCTTTTAAGCCCTTGTCTTTTACTTTATGATTTTCAAAGCTACATAAGCCATCACAGTCAGTCCTCCAGCAGTCACTCTGCATCCGTAAACAGAGATGTGAGTTAACCTAAGACATATCAGCTCTGCTGAAAAAAAAAGTGTTTATTTGCAGAGGTCAGAGTTATAGTGGTGTGCTTAGTTTGTGGAAAACTTGGTCAGATTTTCCTCTTAACATTTGCAGCCTCAGTTTTAATTCACAGACTAAACATGAAATAAAACATGGGACTTTGGTATTTTAAACAACTGCTTTAGTTAAATATAATTATATAGCTCAACTAAATATAATGCCTCAGTATGGTGGGTAACATTTGATTGGTCAAATGGTGGTCAGTTGCAAGGTCTTCTGTCTGTGGAAGAAATTTTTTAAATAGATCACATAATCAGTTATTTATTAATTAAATGCTTGCGTCCATCCATTAGCTTAGCCTTCAACAAAAGTCATGATTGGTCACATGATCCTAGTGGGAAACTAATAGCAACAACCCTGGTTTATACTGGTGTGGCTGACTTTGTCATCTACATCAATCCACCTAATCTGCTGCTGCTCATCACTTCCCTTAAAGACTGGACTTAACGTATGGCTGTCATTTTTGCAAAAACACTGTCAACGATAGTGCTTTCCAGGGCTTCTCCAGGTCTTTTTCTTGATTGAAGATTTATTCCATATTTTGTCAATAAAGTGGCTCAATAGAGCCAGCAGCCTCAAATATTGCCATTACACCTAGAAACCAGGCCATCTCTTGACTAAGAAATCAGTAATAAGCGGTCTCTTGTCTACAGGTTGAACTTCATGTTCTTTTTCAATATAGGAGAAAATTGCCCTGTCTTCCAATGGACAAAATCACTGAAGAAACAACTTCTATTAATAACTGTACGTGAGTTTCCAATACATTTTACAACTGCATCATAAAAAAAAAATGTGGATTTCTTTTCCAAGATGAAGCCACAAAAGCAGTTACTATTTTTAATTGTCTTCATTATTATTACTTCTAGACAGAAGAAATATGTTGGTCACATTAAAATAGTTTTCATAATATAAATCTGGAAGGAGTTTGAACAATTTTGGGCATAGCTGTATTTCTATATATAAAGTAGACTATTTGTGAAAAGCTTAGAGATACCTTTTGTTCTGAATTTGTGATACATTAAAAAAACTAAATTGAATTGCTGGTAGTCTTCCACTGATCTGAAGATGTATTCACTTTTCTGCAAACTCATGGTGATATAACAATTTTTCTACAGTACGTAAGGGGACAGACAATAACTTCACAATTACACTTTAAAAACTTTAAATATTCCTTCAAGTTCTGAATGTATGGGCTCAATGGTGGCTACCACCCAGGAAAACACAGACACCACATCCACTTTGACCATGACCACACACACACACACACACACACGCACTGTATGTGATGTATACACGCTCTTAAAAGGTTAAAACACACACCAGCCGAGGACAGGACATAAACGCAGACTGTAAAAGTACAGGGCTGTCTTGTCCTTTCAGACACAACACATCAACAGAGTTGGGGATAACCATGTTGTCCGACAAACAAAATTACTCTGAAGTTCAAAAGAAAAAAAAAAATCACAGCAATGTTTAAAGAGAAACCCACAACAGTTTGGGAAGAGAAAGGTCCTCTAAGGATAAAAAGGGGACATATTGAAGAGGAAGAAGTAGAGCGAGTAAAGAGATAAAGATAAGAGACTTAATACTGCAGAGTGCCTACCTCTTTGTAGTTCACCTTGGGTTCTGTTCTCTTCCGCTTTTTGCCCGTCGCCTGGTGAGTCCGACTGGAGAGAATCCATTTTACAACCTGCAGAGAGACGATGGTGGGGGTGAGGAGGTGAAGGCGGGAAAAGATAGGAAGAACAGACAGAGTAGCCCCGGGGGAAACAGTGTGATGGTGGAGGATAAAAAAATGACAAAGATGAAATAAAGGTGAGAGTGGAACATCAGAAAAGTGGACATTGTTCAACGAAAAAAAAAAAGCTCTCAGACAAAGACTTCAGATAAAACGCTCACAGAACAACAGAGCAGTCAGAAAGCTCATCAGAGTGCAAAGTGAACAAAAATTCACACAGCGAAAACAGTCCTGCACTCATTTGCAACTTTTCTGCACTCAACTAACATAAGCAACCAGCGAAGACAAAATAAATAAAACGGAGCACAGCAGCTTTCAATTTGCACAACAACCATCACGTGTTTCCAAAAAATGAATATATGAATATGGTTGAATGACATAGAACAAAGAAATACCTATGAACATTTAGACCTGAATCTGATGGATCTTTTTTTAAAATAAAGTCACTAAAGCTATTTTGGCACTTTAAAGTTAAAGGGCACATTTTATCTTTCTTTGTAGAAATATAAATGCGAGGATGTGAAAATATAGGCAAAGCAATTAAGAACAACATGGGAGCATTATGGGAAATCTGATAGGCAGCAGCGTACAACACGCAACAGATGCACAGCGCTGTGTGTGCACGCGCTGCACTCCTCTCGGAGGCAGACAGAGGGAGAGACTGAAGCGGGGAGTGAATGTGGGAAAGAGAGGTAAACAAAGTGCGAAAGAGGTAGAGATAAGAGATTATATCAAAATAATGTGAAATAAAGCATGGAACAATTTTTAAAAAGCGTAGAAATGAATTAAGGAAGCACTGAGGAGGCAAAGAAGGGGGAATTAACTTGGTAAAAGAGAAGACTGATGAAAATCAGATGATAATCATATCAAGCATGTGCAATATTTCCACTCTGAGCGCTTTTCTTGAAGACTGTCTGCCACTCCCTGAAGATGAGAAGAAGAAAGAGAGAGAAAAGGACAGAAGCGGAGGAGTTGTGCGCCTACCTCTGCTTTGACTTCTTCCACCAGCCTCGCCTGTGACCACACAGCGCTCCTTTCATGCAGCCACTGAACGACAGAGGAGAAGGGGAGAACAGTGAGCCGGGGGGGCAAGTGATCGGGACGGAGAGGAATGCTTTGCAGAGGCAGAGAAAGAGACCGAGCGAAGCAGGAAGGGGAGGGAGGAGAGGTGGGAGGAAAGGGAGAGAAGGTGGGTGCGCTATCACTTGTTCCTCTGACGGAAACTCGCTACTTGACTCCGGAGGGAGAGACAGAAGGAAAGTGAAGGAGGGGAGAGAAAAACAGGGAGAAAGGTAGAACGGGCAATTCTCTTCATTCCTCGTTTTTTCATTCTGATCCATTCATTCATTTGTGATTACACACTCAAACATAATAACGCTGATCATGCAAACACCTACGTACAGAAAAGCGCCCTGACCACAGCTTCTACTGTCTCATCTTAAGGTTGCAGTATATTGAATTATACAGCTGCATTTCAGTTTGTTTTAATCTATGGCTGATTTCATGGTGGTTTCCCAGTCATTTACATTCTCAGGTATGGTGTTTCCCATCTTCCCTTTGATAATACTCCATAAGTCATCTATGAATTTAGATCTCGACGGTAATGCCACGATCATTAAAGCAGGTATTGGTATTTTTGGTAATGTAAGCTGGCGCTAAGTTCTGCTGGGAAACTAAATCAGTCCTCATAAAGTTTGTCGGGAAATAATATGAAGTGATCAGAACTTTCCTGCTCGACAAACACCCAGACTTTGGACTTAATGAACAGCAGACCAGCACCAGCAGATGATTCCCCAAATCATTCCTGACTGTGGAAACATCACACTGGACCTCAAGCAACTGGTATTTTGTGTCTCTTCATCCTTCTCCCAGAGTCTGAACCATGTATTTCCAAATAAAATACAAAGTTCGCTTTTGTATGAAAAGCTGATAACGGGCAAACATCCTGTCCTATTATCTCTACAGCCCAGTTGAAAGGCTTCTGATGTCGTTTCTGAATCAAGAGATATAACGCACACATCTGTGTGTTGTGACACTTTAAGTCTTGAGTCCAGTTACAGTCCATGTCCTGTGAAGCTTTGCCAAACTCTTCACTAGCTTCTGTTTGACTGCCTGTGTTTGTGCACCTTTTGCTACTCCATATTCCACTCAACTTCCCATTAATGAGCTCAGATGCAGCAATCTGAACAGCCATTTTGTTTAATGACCTTTCTGTGTTTTAAAGTCTTTATGGAGGTCATCAATGACCTTTGCCTGAGCAAAGTCAGGCCAACATCCGTCCCCATAATCTTGACAAATGTTGGCCTGACACAAGACTGTTGTGCCATAGCACAACAGTCTTGTTTTAAACATGTTTTTGGGGGGTTTGGGTTATCATAAGCTCTAAACCACAATCATCAAAATAAAATGAAATAAATGGTTGAATTTTGGTGTTCAGTGGGTAATGAATATGTATAATATCTGAGTAACGTTTTGGAAAAAGAGTCTGTTTTTGATTATAATTTAATTAGATTCACCTGTAATAAAATCGGGTGCTTGCAATGATCTTGAGAAAATAAGTGGGTAAAAAGCAGTGCATGACATCAAGGTACCTTAAAACGCTCTGATAAAAATGGTGGAAGCAGCGTCCTCTGCCCATTATACACACTTCACAGATGTTCCCACACACATGCCTGTGCAGCATTTTAGCTATCATAGTTACCATAGCCACACACAGACACACACAAAGTACAGTAGTATAACTGCATGCCTGCGTACTTCATGACTTTTTTTTTTTTAAACAAAGGTACTCCAGCAGCATCAGATGTACTGAGGCAGAGAGAGAGGTGTTGGAGTGGGCAGTATAGAATGTAGTGAGTGTTGAGGCAGTAAATTGGCATTGTGTAACAGGATACCACACATAGCTCTTTTGCTGTTTGGATCTCAACAACTATTCTCTGGACAAAAAGCCCTTTGTCTACATCTAACACTCTGGTCCTGTTTCTGTGGCTGTGCAGTGTTTCTCTTTTGGATCAATATTAGATGACATCTAAAGGTCTCATCTCACGTTCCTTCAGCAAACAAGGAGGCGATAAATCACGTCAGCTGTTGGATTCAAAACTGTAATTTGGGGCATATCAGTTTCTAAATTAGGGTGTATGTAGAGAACAAATAATGGCACTGTGGCAATGTCCCTCATTCTAGGACAAAATGGATGACATCATGTGTTTAACATATCCAAACTGGTAAGATTTTGCACCTTAGTAATATAGTGGAGTGACCTGCAAGGTAGATCAAATCTACACAGAACCAATACCACTAACTAGGCACTGATAGAGTTTTACTAGTGTCTTGATGTATATGGTTATGTGAATAATGTATAACCTTTTAAATGTTGTTCTTCTGGTTACAAATTTCTCACAAATGCACACTTCACAGGTTGGCAACAAAAAAAATTACTGTTTATATTTTATGTAAGTTTGATGAACCTTCTGTGATGTTTCTGCTTCTGTACTTACAGGGTTCTGAAGCATTTTTCAGATAAAAATGTAATTTTTTTTTAAAAGAATTATTTCCATTTGAATTATTTTCTTTTGCTAACTTATAATAGCATTTGACTACAAAATAGTAAACTGCTTCAGTAGTTTTAGATCGTATTTTCTGCAGGTCTCATGTACCTAAACAATCAGATTTTAATTAATGAATAGTGGTAAAGTGGGGTGCTACTGCTTTTGTGGAATGTGGTCTGGCTTAGATCTTATGTGTTTTAAAATCTAGACTCCTAAAAAGGAATTACATATTCTACTCTAGAAATCTGGTATCTTTATTTTGGAAGTGCAAAGTACACAAACTTTTCATTGCTCTGCTTTGCATTTTCGGAGTCCAATTTAACTTGAATTTAAAGTAATTTAAAGACCATACAGGTGGCAGGGGTTTGACCTTGCATGTCTGGATGTCAAAACATGCAAAAAATTAAAATAAATAAATAAAAGAAGCTGAGTTAACATTTTTATATCCAATCTAACTTGTTATTTCAGACTTTCTATAAGGTCCACACAGATACTCAAATCCTTGAGTATCTGCTGCTGCATTTCTTTTTGAGTACAGAAATAAATCCAAAATGTATTTATTCATTAAAATATCATTATTATGAGCACTTTTGCAAGATAAACATATAACAAAAAATATAAATTTGTTATTATTTAGATTTAAATTTTGAGAAAAAATATATCAGTGAAAGTTTTGGCACATCAAGGGTGGCCTTTGTTCAGCTATCGTATCTGAGACGACTTCTATCTCCCTCCAAAGGGAGTTCTTACTCATCTAAACTAAAATATCTAAAATAGTCTCTCTCTCATTCCCCATCTTTTTTTCCAGGATTGGTGTGTGTCATTGTTTATTATTAGGCCAAACCATTTCCTGCCTCTTTGTGTGTGTGTGTGTGTGTGTGTGAGGGGGGGAGCAACACATGGGAGTCTGTGGCGATAAAGAGCGAGACAACCCGGGAAATTTTAAATGTGTTTGTGTGTAGTGTACACAATGGACAAGTGCTCGCATTTGTAAGAGGTTTTAATCGATCTGGCTGATCTACTTAGCCAGTGACTGGCACATCAAAACAAAAATAAATAAATAAACAAGCACTCAACCCTTATCCAATCAGGTAGGAGAAAACAGAAGTCCCCTCCACAGTGTCCTTCCCACCCTCAGAGGCCCCTGAAAGGCTCTAGTTACATCAGCACGTAATCTAGAAGGTGAATGTTCCCAGACAGTCATGCAAAAAAAAAAAAAAAACACAGACACACAGAATTTGCACGTACACTGTGTGGTAATTAAGATCAGTTACCATAGAAATAGGAGAATTGAAGAAGCCGTTAAAGTGGATTGATCGTGTGGGTGTGTATTTGTAATCCAATAATCTATGACTGGGGGTATTTTTCCCTGCTAGAGGCCAGTGGAGGAGAGGTGTTGCTCAGATAAAATAACAATCTATAGCTTACAATTACATAGACTTCTACTTTTTAGACTTTTTTTTTGTCTCACTTATGTTTGTCAGGTGATCAAATACATTTTAAAATCTGATAAAGGGAACATGAGTAAACTGAATGTTGTTTTTAAATAATTATTTTATCTATTAAGGGAAAGAAGGCTGTCCATAGCACAACAACTTGACCCTTTATGAGAAGTAATCAGTCCCCAAACATAATCACTGGCTGTCCAATAAATGGTAGCGAATCACTCAGTGATTGATGGCTGAACACCCTCATTTAGGATTTATAAATAGAGGGAAATATTCTATCAATTACAGCAAATTGAGAGTCCTGAAGCAATAAAGCAGCCCCTACTATAACACTGCCACCACCAGCTTTGATAGTAGGTATGCCGTTCTTTTTCTGAAGTACTATCTTAGTTTTATATCGGATGTAATGGATCTCACACCTTCAAGAAAGCTCCTATTTTGAATCTACAGTTGAAAAAATATTTTCCAAAAAGTCTTGTGATTCATTGAAAGGTTCCATTTATAGGTTGGCAAATGTGAGATGTATTCTTATGGTCTATTTGATCAGCAGTGATCTCACCCGAAAAATTATGGCTACAGTAAATTCCTGATTTACTGTAACCATAACCAGGAATAATTCCTGGTTACCAATCCAAACCAGCCTGGCTCTATGAGAAGAATTATTTCTTTGGATAGTTACTCACATAAATAAATAAATAAAATTATGAGTTGAAAATGGCATTTAGTATTCAGTTATTTATGTCTAATCTGAAACATTTAGGAGTGACAGAAAAATAAAACAAAGAAAACAAAAGTACTTTGTCACAGTTCTACAAAAAACTGGAAATTGATTTAAATTTAATTGACAAAGTGATCTACATATATTTTTTCCATTTGGGGCCTCAGTTGCCAGGAAAAGCTGTTAGCAAGAAAGCAACCATTATCAAGAATTTTTTCAATCACTTCTAGCAAACAGTCACACCACATTTAAGCTGGCGTATTTATCTAGATATTTACATCTAATTGGGGACATCATTTTGATTATGAGAGTTGTATTATGCAGATGTTTAGAGATGTTCAAAAGACATCCTCAAGTGTTATATCTGTCATTATCTAGTTGTACAGCATGTTTGCATCAACAGCACTAAAGAAGTGAGGCCAAGCAAAGAAAAAAAAAATTATTGATGTAAAATGAAGAACTATAATTTTTGGGAAACTGTCTTTAAAGTCCTGCCAGTTCTGTTGTGGCACATAAAGGTTGTACAGTGAATTCTCAAAGCAGGAGCCTCATTTAGAAATTTACACTTTCATTCATTAACAAGGCAGATTGCAAAAAGACTTCTCATACCTCTGGAATTCCCGGTCGATCAAGCCAGTCGGCGTAAATAGCACTGAGGGTGAGGCCCTTTCTGGAACACAATGGCACAAGTGTTAGTTTTATTCCTATTATTACAGTGACGATTGTTATTGCTCAAGAAACCCTTTTAAAAAACACGTCTCTGGGAAAATGCTGGAAGGGTTCTGACAGGTTTGAGTTTGGGCCAACACCTTAAACAAAGAAAAAAAGAAGAAAAAAAAATATTCAGGGACACACCCGTCTTCCTATACAAAATAAAGTAAACAGACATGTACAGACAATGAATTGGATTTAGATGTATGGATGTCATCCAGACAAGCATTTGTATGAAAAAGTGTAGCTGTGTCTATGAGACAAAGTGCATGTTTAGTGCATAAAAACCGTCTCAGACAGAACCGCCACAGTGACCGAAGCAACATGCAAAGACAAATGTGTGTGCAAACAAACCTTCTACAAGCAGTCAGCAGTAGGTATGCAAACTCCAAAGCACACGCAGAGTAGAAAAGTAACCATACGGCATACCCTTCACCACACTATTAATCTTTCTGGCTGTGTTTAAAAAAACAAAAAAAACTCCAGTCTCTCGCAATGAAGCTTTTACTGTGTGCCGTGAGATTCAGTCCATTAAAGAGGCCATTTTTTAAATGAAATGTTCTCATTCCCATCTTTACTTTTACAGCTATGCTCCCCTAACAGAGGCTCAATTACTGGTTTTATACATTTGCCAAATATATTCCATTAGAATCTTCCCCAAAATAGTTTTTTTAACTGTTCACTCAGAATTCCAGAATTGGACATTAAATAGTGCTTCAATGTTGATTTAAAGAAGTGGTTTTTGCAGACAGAGATAAAAACAATTTTCCTTTTTCTTGTGTTAATTTTTTTCAGTTTAGCTATGTGAAATTTCCATCTCCCAGATTCAAATTTAAACTGCAGTAAGGTTCGTTAAATGTCAGTTATGCTGTGTGAATTTATGCAAAACGTAATACAAGCAAGCAAACTATATGCATGTCAGTGAGGGTTGTAAATATGTGTAAACAGGGGCAAAGGGTCAACAGACAAATCAGTCACTCCACAGTTAGTGTGGTTAAAAATAAAGCCACTTAGTCGGGACCAGGCTTTACTCGTTGCTCACTAGGTTGACGTCTATTTTGTAATTTTTAGTTATTTTGTTAACACATTTACAAGGTGAATATAACATTTTAGTTTCGGAAAGCACACTAAAGTCTGACACAGATAAATTGTTTTTTAAATTCAAAGAATAATTTTAAAACACATTCTAGATCAATTTTTTCTCACATTAACTTGAAGTGTCTCTTTTGTTTCTTAACAATATGACATAATGTGTGGACAGCTATATTATCATAGTGCAGATAGACTGTGAGGATTAAAACACAGACTGGTGATGTGTAGAAAGACGAGACTTTCAGCTGTTTCAGTTCTCTGCAGCTACAATATTTTTTTAAACAGTTGCATCTTCAGCATAAAGAGAAAAATGAACACTGGAAAATGCTCATGAACAGCAATGCTGGTTAAAACTGGATGAGAAATGAGAACAATTATCTAAAGGACACGGCAAATAACAGGTAGTAGGCTTGACAAAAAACTTTTATTTCTACGGATATGGTGTCAGGCTGCTTGGCCTCCCAACCACTGCCTAAAAGAAAACATTTCCCCTGACTTCATCCTCCTTACCAGAGAAGTCAAAAGATAAGTCCTCCCCTTAAAAACTCACATTCCAGGAAGAGAATTTGCTATCACTACTTTCTTCTTGGGTAGCCACTGTGTTAATCATTGATGCCAGAGTTTGGTGTCCTGCATGTAACATCATAACTCTTGTAATTTTCCTTGGCATTACTAGCTGCTTTGTGGTAATTTTCCCCCTTATTTCCTCCTCTAACGAATATGGGCAATAAGTTTAAGGACAGTTAAGAAAAAAAATGTACTAAAAGAAATTATGATATATGGCTCCTAATGATCATTAGTAAATCCATATTCAGAAGTGTATAATGAACAGAAATGTTCCAATCTGCACACACATTACAGGCTTTACTGAAAAAGCCTAAGGTTTTGGCAAGACGAGTTGGTTCATAATAGAAGTATTGAGACATAAGCTTTTGGTCTCACAGGAGCCTTTACGGCTCAAATTTACCCATATTTTATGTAACTGAGAGGCAACTTTATTGCAGTTTCCAGATTATTATTTGGTAATTAAGAGATAAATGAGTTTACATAGGATGAAGATCTCAGGAAAAAGCTATCTTTTGTATAGATTTGCATAATCCTACATTGATTATGTCTTGATTATTTTATCCAGTAATGTGTGAGCATGCAAAAAGCAGCCATGACCCTCAACAAACGGTACTTTGATCCTAAATCCTTCTTGTCTTTTTGTGTTGTTTACAGACAGAGGGATCGCATCCAAATATTGACTGTGCCCAACTCTTTCTGTCTAATTCAATCAATTACTGACTGGTCCAGCAGCACCCTCCACCTGACAGAAAGGCAAAAAGACAAGATTCATGGCAGACAAAAGGTGAGGCAAAACAGAGCTAGAAACAGAAAGTTTGAACGTTGGGAGCGCTAATGTGAAATACGGACTGAGAAACTGGAAGAAGCAGGGAGAGGTTAATGAGGCAATCAGAAAAGATGGTGAATTGAATGATAAAGTAGAGAGGGAGAGACAAAACAAGAGAGGAGGAGAGCAGGAGGAACAGTTATCCTTTTACACTTCAATTAATATCAGAGTGGATGAGACTGTTCAGTTAACCAGATTGGTGTTTGGAGCTTTAATAGACTGATTGTTTCCACACCAGGACCTCCACAGAGAGTAAATCAACAGAAGCTTGCCTATTTCACATTAAGCTATCATCATCATCATCATCCAAAACTAAAATGCTTAAGCTACTTTTGGGAAAAAAAGAAAAGATTATGAAAGGTTTCTGCTATTTGACTGGAATGGAAATCCCCTACTTAAATGCAAGCAAATGGATTCAGAGCGTCATATAATTCATGAATTAAACAGTAATTCCTGCCACTTACATACCTCTCCATGTGTGGGAAGGTGATCAGGAACATTTGCAGGAAATCCTGTAAAAAAAACAACAAAACAGAACGACGAGAAGAAATGGGAGGCATAAAGTGAGATGTGGGAGGAAGAGTGTAAGAGACAGCAAGGCATACCTGATGTTAAGTCAAGTGTGCAAGGTCAGACCATGTTTATGTTACATCCATTATTTAGTGAGAAGATTCAATCTGCCACTGCAGATGCAGGAGCCAGGTGGAATGAATCACGTGCATACATGTGCACACATACAGACTCCCAGGTGTTATTGTTCAGGTGCTGGTGTCAGCAGGATAAACGTCTGTATGGGTGCTCATACACGGAGCTGAATGCTTAACATTAAAATTGCTCTTCAATTGGCTGCATGACTTGAAATGTTATTTTAAATATAGAATAATATTTTTTTCCCATTTTAAGTATTTTTATTTGCATTTTCAATGGTGGTAAGGTTATAATGACAGGTGCTGGAATACAAAAGCTGTGTCAGCAGGCGGCAATAATGTTGGCATCATTACGCTAAAGAAGATCGTAAGCATGGCTAAAGGAGTGATGGGTTTAAGCTCCTCCTAAAGCAAATGTATCTTGAGTTTTCTCTGACACCAATTACCATTTCCTCAGAGTCATTCATGTAAATTGAAAGTCAGTGGAAATACTCATAATGAAGTGTGACTGGTGTAAAAACACCAGAAAATGGCTTGTATTGTGGCTTCTTTATAACCATAAAGAAGACTAAACTATTGAGTGCACCTGAATATAAGCTGCAACCACTAATACTGAAAAATAAAAAAAAGATAAATATATGCCACATCAAGGCATTGGTTCATTTTGCAAATGGAAGAATTTGAGATATTTTTATGGGTTTTTCTCCTTCTGTCTCAATGCAAATTAACTTTGACAATGTCATCACTTGTTGAAAGAGAATAGGGTTTTTGACTAAAATCTAACAGAGCATCTATATGCAATTTTTTAAATTATTTTCTTTAAATTCCTTTTTTATTTTTTAAACCAACGGGAAGTGTCAAAGCAAAATCACAATTTTGCAAAACATCAATATTAGCAGACAAAAATATTCCTCTAAAGTACTTTGGTCTCACCTGAGACAAAACAAGTTGTCCATGGTATTTCTTTACAAATAATCTGAAGAAGTCAATTAAGTGCTGGTCCCCAACTTCACTGGCCAAGAACCTGAGAAGGAAGTAGCCCTAGGCAGGGAACAAAAGATGATCCATCACAGAACCACAAATAAACTCAATAGCGGGTCCAAGCACACTGAAGCTTTTTGGCAGGACAATTGAAAGGACAATCTCGAATTACTCTTATCATTTAATATGCCAATGCTGCAGTTCCGGTACTTTATATATTTTTCCTCTGTAAACCTCTGATTCTATTTTCTTATTTCCTCCCTGCCTTTAACGCAGTAGTCTCTTACCTTGAGGTAGTGGACTTGCATGAAGGTTTTGTCAGGGTTAAGAGCGTGTTTGATTGTGAAGGAGCCAGCGTCACTGACTTGACCAGTTCTTTCCATGTTCGGCCTACAGGAAAACAAACAAGTAAGAGTCTGAAACAAAATCACACAAAAGTTTTACATAGATAACTTTCAACTCTATTGTGTAATATTGTAGATATTGTTTTAAGGGGACATAGAGATGTTCTGATTAGCAATGAACTGGAGTTACATTGTTACACATTGTTTATTCAAGCTACACATTTTTATGTTTTCACCCATATTTTCTATTTGTTTGTTTTTTATGTATTGATTTGGCCATCTTTGATGAATAATTGGAGATAAGGACTCAGGTATAGCTTACTTTTGCATCTCAGATGTGATAGTTGTTTTAATTGAACTGTTTGAATTTATGGATTTATCACCAACCTATGAACAATCATTCAGTAGTGGGAAGATATTAAGAAAAAATATCTTAGTGCATGAACAAAATGGAAGGTAAAAACAAAGACTCTAAGGACAGAAAGTATATATTTCACTAATATTAGTGGTATTCCAGAAGCAGGAAAACCACAGTTTCTACATATCAACACTTCACTGTCACCATCACTAAATCCACCCAGTCAGGTAATCTCTCACTTGTGAACGAAGAGATTGTCCAGTTGCCATGCATCGCCTGAGGCAGGCAGGAACTCAAGCATCAGATTTATAATGGAGCACTATAGACTTATATGACCTCACAATGCTGCACTCGTACTTTACTACCTATGAGTCACGATGCAAACATATAACACTTCCACAAATAAAGCACCCCTGACTACCAGAACTCATTTTATGTCACCTAAACACAAATCATGCCTTAAACCTCCATAAACACACCAACAAACACACATAAAACCAATAAAGAAAAGGAAAAACAAAGCCCTGACATGGGACAACGTGCAGTGATAGTTTCAGTTAGCTGGTATTGATCAGGATGAGCAGATTAACTCCGTGTGCCAATAGGAAGGCCTTGAAGGATCACCCTCCCACCGAGTCGATACAGCAGGCGCCTGGCCCAGCGATCAATACCCCCTTCATCACTGCCTAGCATTTTCTACAGGAGCGCTTCATGACAAGACCAGGCGGATGCATGCACAAAAACAGATGAGCAATGAGATCGACCACGCAAATTGGAGATTCAGATCAACCAGGTACGGTATGTGAGGAATGAGTCAACGGTCAAACTTTTCATCTGTCTCTCCTACACGATGAGCAGAAGACTGGGGTATGGGTGGAGATGACGTTGATTACAGCGGCTGGCAGAAGGAGCAAGTGGTGAGGGAGAAATCGAGGACAGGAATGTTTGGTTTGCGAAACAGACTGAGAGAGGAAGTCATCAGCTTCCTGGAATTTCTAAATTTGACTGGACACTTACAACAGCTTACATCATGCATCTGAGGATGTATTTCTACTCATATTGAGACTTTGGGGAAATTGTGCCAATTTTGCTTTAAAGTTTGCACAAATATTCTCAGCCTGAAATGAACTGAATTACCTTAAAATATGATGGAACCACTTGAGTGTTTTCATATGTTACTTGCCAACAATACAGATATATCTTAGTATCCTGTATTGTCATGAAAGTGAATATATTTTGGTAATAGGTTCTAAAAGGGAAACTATATATAGATTTATGACATACGTATATTTATGATATATTTATATTTCAGGTAATTTCTGTTCATTTTGATTATAATAGCCTATAGCTAAAGAAAACTCAAAAGTAAATTTCTCAGAGATTACAATAGTATGCCAGGACAAAAAAAGATATTTAATTCAGACATTTTATGTTATAACTATTATATACCCATTACAATCATGGGGAAGACTGCCGACTCCTCACTGCAGATGTCTACAAATAGGGTGAGCCACAGAAGCTGACTGATTTTTTGGAAAGTTTATTGAGGAAAAATAAATAGAGTGTGGTAGAAAAGGTGCAGAAGCAATCATTACAACCAGAGCGTTGAGAGGACTGTGAAGCTGAGCTCATTTGAGAGTTTGAAGACATTCACAAGGTTTGGACTGCAGCTGGACTCAGAGCTTGAAGAACAGTAACATAGAAATATGTCACTCCTGAGTTGCAGACAAAGATAGGATGGTCATACCTGGGCTGAGGAACTAGGTAGACTACATATCAGTAGTCTAAAAATTTTCTTTCCAAATGAATGTCAAATTGAATTTCCTTTCAAACTTAAGATCCTAGAGACCGAAGGGAAAAGGGAGAAGCACAGAATAAAAGTTGCATGAGGTTCAGTGTGAAATATCCTCAATCTGGGATGATTTGAGGACCTATGTAATCACCTGGTGTTGGTTCACTGAATTTAGTTGAAAGTCACCATAGCCATCTGCATTGGTTTACAAGCTTAACAAGATGCCAATTTAAGTTTACAGCAGGACTTTGTGTCTGCCCACACTCTGCCAAAAGTAGTGTGGGCAGTGCTTTAATGCAGTACAGTCAGGAGATAAACAATGCAGATGAGATGAAAGCTGCTATGAAAGCACTCTGGACTTCTGAACTCCTCAGCAGATCCATAGTCTGATAACCTTTATGCCATGCTACGCTGATGCAGTAATGTATGCCAAAGGAGCCCCAACCAAGTACTGAATGCACTTACTACACAGTAAATTGACATTTTTTGCAGGCCAAAATTTCTGTATTAAAATTTCTTTTTTTCATTTTTTATCAACATACAGTAGTCACCAAAATTAACATTAAATCTCTCACATCTCACTGTGTGATGAATCTATAAATGGGAATCACTATTTGAATTGAATTACTGAAATAAAATCACCTTTTAGATGATTACAATTTGTCAAGACGCACTTGTATTTTTATTTTTTTTTACTTCCTCTCTGTTCAGTTCTCAGCTCTAAATGCCCATATCAGTCTGTTAGTGATGATAAGATAACATGGGCTCATTTATAGACAACAGGGGATCCTTTATCCATGGATGAATGTGTGTGCATGCGCGTGTGTGTATATATCTCTGTCAGACAGAGCAAAAAGATATACTTTGGCTAAAGAAAAAAAAAAGCAGTGAGAGGACATGCATTTCTAGGAAAAACAGGTCCACTTTGTGTGCACATTACACAGGAGAAAAATGTTGATCCGTCGATGGTGGATAACCCAAATTGACTCCACAGACGTGTAATCCCTCACTTTCTGCCTCTTTTTGACATAGGATTAGCTGAAGCTTCAGGTTGAAAAAAAAAACAATCGCTGCCTTGAACAACTCACAATCCATCAATGTATTTCTGAATAAGCAGGGCTCATTTCTGACTTGTAGCTTGTGTGTGCAAAAGAGGAAGGCTGTCTGTGCATTTGTTGTTTTGCATGCACCTGGGTGGGGCTGAGCTTGGGGAAGGAGAGAATGAGCGAGAAAGGAAATCGGGAGCTATTACTGACAAAACCTAATGTCAAACGCACACACTCACACACAAACACAAAGAGGTTTATAGCTCCGCGAGCCATATCCTGACAAATTACACTGGGTTGACTGTGGAAACCGGATAAGGTAGAGCAGCGCTTCTAGCAGCCCAGTAAATCAGCAGGGAGAATGGCGTCTGGCCCGGGCTGCCCTAAATATAACTCATCTGAAATGGTCTGATAAACACTGGCCACTGGGGCCCCTGCTGGATCATAGGCTGTCGATTGTGACCCACTGAACTTGAAAAGAACAACCTGCCATCTAGCTTTTGTCTGTTTTCCTGGTGAGTTGAGAGGATGGTGCTCTTCATATCTGTCTGTGCTGATTGGCCATATCATTATGATCATTGAAAGTCGAAGTAGCACTGCTCATCTGGTGTTTTTTTCTGAAAAAAAAAAAAGTTTTACATGGGTGTTACTCTGACATGAAACATTTTTCACAGACTAATTACAACTCCTCACACTATAGCAACACTCCACCTATTGTTCAACAAAGGAGAGAATAATATTTCACATACATCCACAAGCACAAGGCAGAACTTATTACTGTTATCCAATCCATCAGACAGAGTCTGCAATGTGTTATCCTATAAATCTTTAATTAAAATGGCAAAATGTATTCCTGGGATGTTAATGTCCCTCTAATGTCTTTATGATTCTAATGAGAAGTTCCTGGAAGGAACCCAATGCAATTTGGTTGCAATTATTGGGTTAATGATTACATCCACAGTAAATATTCAGAGATTGTTCTTTTTACGTGAACAAAATAATGTACAAATGTGAGCACATGTTGCATTCTCAACTGACCTGCAGACTGTAGAGCAATTAATTGGACAAATAAGTTGAGCATTTTGTCCATCTTACTAGGACCTGATGGTGTTGTAGTTTTCAAGGAAATAAAAAATAAAAAAACAGTTATTGGATGTCACTCAAGAACATTTTACAAAAATAACAGACACTATTTATAGAAGTATTAGGCTTTCCTCACACATGAACTTTAGTGATTCTCAATCCTGCAACGTCATCATTTCAGGGAAGGTCTTCTACAAGGTTTATTAGTATGTTTATGGGAATATCTGATGATTGTTACAGAGAAGCATCTGTGATGTCAGATACTGACATTGGAGAAGAAAGAATACAGTCTTGACTCTAATTCATCCAAAACCAAAGTTCCACTGGGTTGATAACTGCTGCACTTTTACAAAACATTTGAATACCATCAACGTATATTATTTCAGTTCAGTTACATATTAAAGTTCAGTTACAACTGCAGTTTAAAGTATTCACATTTGAAGGATTAACTTGGAGTGAATTTCAGTGATGTATTAGTAATTTTACAAATAAAGAATAATAGTTAATGTAATAGAAAATAGTTCACTATTTAATTTCCCAAAAAGTAATTTTTAATTAATTGGATTGGTGGCTGGTAAAGTAGTCAAGCATAGATGGAGTACTTTTGCAAATGTATCAACAACACAAGGGCAATCATATTATTGTGAAGCAAAGTTATACATATACAGATATTATCAGACTTTGGCAGGGGTCTTTACTTCCAGTCCTGGTGTCCAGGGCTGGTGTCCTGCAACTTTTAGATATGCATTTGCTTCAACACATCTAAGTCAAACAGGCAGGAAGAAAGAAACATTCCTTGAAGCTGCTGACTGTATCAGACTGCCAGATCAGACGTAACTCAGCAGTTCAATCTAACTCTGCCAAGAACAATTTGGGCTATTTAGAGAGCCATGCAGAAGTATCAAAGATGGTAAGCACCTCTACTTTTCTTACTTGTCATTTGAAAATGACCCCAGCGATTCTCTCATGTGTGCTGAAACTTAGACATTCCATATATAGAATGCACATATATGTATACAACATTGCGGCGAAATGTATAAATAAGCAATTCAAATGTCAGATCGACAACCCAATAATATGACTTAAGGTAATGCAAAACAATACAGGTAGCCTGTCTGCACTAATGAATGTTCAATGTGTATCAACTGTGGCAAATTATAAACATGACAAATACTTCACACTGAACTGGATGTTTTAGAAAATGTGCTCTGTTTCTTTATCTTTGAACTAATGATGAAACAACATACCTGGAAAGATAGGAAGCTGTGTGGCAGCAACTTAAGCAACAATGATTTAATACTGCAGGAAACGAAAAACCTAATCCAACTTAATCATATGTCTGCCTTGTTGAGGAACACCCTTGTAGGCAGACAGAGGGAGATTTTAATTGTATACTGAGTTGTTTTACTGAAACATCGCTTACTTTTGAAGATTAAACCAGAAGCATACTTTAGACATGAACTGCTGGCTAGAAATTTGCAAACATGGCTGTAATATTTACAATTGAGCAAATGTTATGTTAGGTTCCATAACTTTACCTAACACTGATTACCAAATTGTTCAAACTGTAAGTTGCTCCTTTCTGGTCTATATACACTAGCTTACTTACTGGTTTTCTACTGCAAAGCAAAATAACTAAGGACAAATATTTCAAATGTTTTTAAAGATTTGAGCATTTATCTCAGAAAGCAAGTCTCCAATTGTTCAATGAATGTGCAAATATGTTGCTGGAGGATAAAGTATTGTGCCCTCTGATATTATTGGCAGCTCTGCTAAAGAGGTGTACAATAACCTTTAAAATATTAGTTTTACTGAAATTTAATGTTCCAAAGACATGAGCTTTGGGGGTATTTTTACCTCTTACCATCCTGCTCACTGTGATTAGAAAGATAAATCCCATCTATCGCAGTTTTTGTAATTTAACATTTTAGAAATAGTGGTTATGATTGTCGAGAAGAAGATGTTTAAATGAGAAGATATTCTCTTTACAGAACTTGCAAAGGTCAGTGTGTATCTGAAATAGCTGATTTTCTCGTCTTTCCAATTTAAGAGTGTGCTTAGAGATAATTAATAATAAAAATGTTTCTCGTTGCTTAAACTTAAAAAGCAAACTTTAAAAAGTTTGAATTACAGCTGCATTAGTTTGATATAAAATTGTATTTTATCTAACATAAAATAAACAGTGAATGCATTAAATAAATTAATATATTAAATAATGTATTATGCTGCTGGAATAAAACAAGTCATTCTTTTAACGCTGTTCAGCTTGTATTGTTGTTTTTCAAGTGTTTTCTATTTAAGACGGTATTATGTGGAATTCATTTTAAGGCTTTTTAAAAATTCTTTACTTGGGGTGCTAATCGTTTTGTGATTGTGTATTTCTATGCACTACAAGCTATGCTCTGAAAACCTTTATGACAGTACTTAGTTACCATATAAGTAATTGAATCTTATAATGATTTCAATAGAGTCCGCGTTGATTGACGTGAACCTTTTGTAAGTAAAATAATTACTTTAAAATTTCCCATTCACTTTTCACTGTTCAGAGACAGTTAATCTGATTTCTGGTTGAGATTATTGTATTGTACCAGGACATCATTTCTAATTGAGGTGATACAATCAGAAGTCAGCTGCACAGAAAGGTGCAATGAAATCAATAAATCATTCTATTCCACTTTCTACTGCTTCTTACAAGAGTGAATGTCAATACTTCATTATAAATACAAGAGCTCCCTCCATCTCCACGATTTTTTATTCAACATCTTAAATGTTCATATGTCTATTAACAGATATTTAAAAAGTTAGCTCTTGGATGGGGTTTTATAACTATAATACCCGATGACAATTTCCTTCCACTCAGGATAAAAACAAACAGGGTGTGGGTCCCACATTGTCAGGATGAGATGAAGAGTTAGTGCATGCCTGGTGTCTCCATGTGTTGAGTTTTCCGAGACATGATGGTGCACCACACCTCAATAAATTGTCTTGCCACACCTGTTCCCCTGGAATGCATACAGTTTACACTTGGACACACACGCACACGCATACACAAAATACAGAAAACAAACAAGACTTTTTCTTCCTTGTTTAAGGTTTTAACATAGAAAATATAGAACATTGAGCCCAGTTACCCTGACTGCGTAAGAGTAAGCTCCTGCAACCTGTACCATTACACATTACTCGTGTCTGTGGTCAAGTAAATGTACATCTCAAAAAATAAAAGCATATCAGCTTTTATTTAGTACTGATATTTCCTAATTCATTCATAAAGCAGCAGATAAATAGAGGTACACACCGAAGAATTTGAAGTTCTTCATTTGAGTTCTGCAACTCATCTGAAAGTCGCCTCCACCTCAACAACGCCTTCAGGTCAAATTGCTCTAAAGTCTGTTGTGAAGACAGCTGCAGAGAAAATGGAGAGAATAAAGAACATGTCAGATGCTGACAAATATTAAGATTCCCCCTCCCAAAAAAAAAACATAAACATCAAATATTTACCAGACTGAAATGTTTCCAATACTACATGTAGTATTGGAAACATTAAAAAAGTGTTTCCAATAATAAAAGTGTCAATTGGTCAGAAATATTTCACAAGGCGAAATTTACTTAGCATACTGACTGATAGGATTAAAAAGAGAACAAAAGAAGAAAAGAAAGACATTTCTATCAGAACATGTATGCAAAGATTGGGTTCGCATGCATGTCCAGTGTCACATTAAAAGTGAAATGCACGGGAAATGCACTCCCTGTTTTTTTGGACTGTTTTCTCAAATATATATTTTTGAGGGGTTGTTGCTGTCCAACTCTGTAGGTGTTATGTTAATTGATTTATTTTGTAGTTGGATTTGGAAATCTCTTCCTCCATGTTGCTTGGCGAGCTCCTTTGACTTTCAGCCATTTCAGCACTTTGGTCTCTTTTTACATACACACCATCCTATTGTGGCATAGCTGATAAGTGTTTTTACTATGGTATATTCAAGATGCTTTCAAACCACAAATGTGCAAAGAAATCTTTGATGAAAGCATCTGTTTTTGCAAAATCAACTGCAAATCAGACTGAAGTTGTAATAAAATCTAAAAATCGCTAAAAGAGTTTGCCCTACTCTGATTAGTAAATGAGAAATAATAACATGTTTTGATGAAGTGATGTAATTTGACACCTATAGCTATTATAGTCACTGCTTGCAGCCTCTGTACAGCGTCCTAGTTTTTAAAAATCTGATACATCCATTAAATTAAAATTTGAACATTACAGACTTAATTTATGACTAGATTTTTTAAAAACACCTTCAAAATGTGAAAAAGGAGAATAAAATTGAAACAAAGGAACATTTTATGTTTAGGAACAAGTACTTGTTGTGCTTGGGCCCATATAATGTCCTCCAGGAAAGTAGCAAAGCCTTCACTGATCCATTCCTCTGTCCAGTCTCTGGCTCCAATAACCAGGCCAAACCAGGAGTGGGCAATCTCGTGGCAAATCCTGGATCCACTCAGAGTCAGTCTGTTCAGTCCAGAACCAGTACATTCCTTGCACAACACACTCTGGGACAGGAAAATTATATGGGGGCTGTAGAACACAAAGGACATGAAATCTGAGAATTAAATGTGTCAAGATCGAGGACATTAAGGAAGTAAGAGAAAAAAAAGAAGCTAAACAAAATTACTGGTTAAGAAAAAACACGGCATAAAGGCAGATAAGGACATAATGATGCGTCCTCCAAGCGTCTTTGAGCTGCTGTTCCACACCTAGGATTACAGTAAATTAAGTCTTTGCACGTCATGCAAGACAAATCCACGTGTGTGTTCTAACAAGAACAGAAGCTGCAAGCTGCCCATTCTTTCCACAATCCTCTACATTATATTTAGAAATGGTCAGCTTACTCATCAGGCATTCATGCCAAAGCTAACTGCTTTGTACAAGCCAATGTACTGTGAGCAACATTAGTTGTGATTGTTTGACACTACAGGGCTTATTTAAAGTGGTTTTCAATTCCACCTATTGCCTTTTCCTTCATGAACTCTAGAAGTATTGCACTTAAAATATTTACCTTGAAAAATATACTAAGTCTACATGAATCGAAGGCTAGTCAGATACCAGAGTAATAAAGATAGGTTTCACTGAGTCAAATAGAGAAAAGGAGAGTTAGAAACTGCAATAATGCATTAGAGAGAAATTATTGCCTTTTACTTTGCACTACAGAAGTATTAGTACATGTTACACTTTTGTGCACTTTGTCAAATAAACCAATAAATAATATAATTTTATGTATTTTTTTTATCATCATGTAACACATAGGAAAGTTCTTGAAATATTTTACAAGAACAAATCTAAGAATTATGGTCTGCCCATCTATTTAGCAACATTATTTTACAGTATGGAACTCTGTGGGAATTAGAAACAGAGCAGTGGGTAAGTCTCTCCCAGCTTTGTGCATCTACAGACCTATTATTATTATTTTTTTAATTCTAATCTTTAAATCTTTGATTTAAATCAATTCATTGTAGCTCTGCCTGAATGCTTAGAGTTGTTGTCCTGCTGGACGGTGACCTTTTCAGCCCAGTTTTTTGCACCATCAAATAGGTTTTCTTCCAGGTTTGAATTGTATTTAGCTCCCATCAACTCTGACCAATTTCTCAATCTGATAAGGCAAAAACAAATCCAAAAATTATGAGACTACAGAAAATTGTGTTTGTAATGCATTATTTCATGTAGGTCAATCACATTAAATCCACTCAAATATATATTGAAGTTTGAGATTACTATCAACCAAATGTGGGATAGTTCCATGGGTCTTCATACTTCTGAGTGTTTGCATGTACAATAATCTGTTAGATATTCTTACATTCTTTTCGCTATTTCAGCGAATACACCTTAGAATTGACAGTGAAACATGTAGCATGTTTCACAGCTACATGCCTGCAAGCACTATAATGAAAAGTAAAGAACTACACCCCATTCTTAAAATATGTTGTGTTATGTTTTTCCTGAAGGGAGAATTTTGCATTTTTATCTTCAGATACCCCAAAGAAAAACATTTGTGATACATAGTTGTGATACAATTTAAGCTTGCTCCATAACAGGTATGGACACTTGTGACATTTTGATTATTGTCCACGACTAATTTTAAAGAACAAGTATGTTACTGAGTCTTAGTTCACAGCATTGTAGAACCACTTAGGAAGAAAATTAATTACTAGCTGTGTTGTCAAATAGTTAAAATATGGTTCAAAAATCATGCGCATATGTGAAGGGCTTTCTGCTCTGCAAAGCTGGGAACATGACAGGCAAAAGTGCTGACTGACAGCACTCAGTGATCCATATCTAGGCCAATATTTAATGCATTCTTCCTTACCTCAAACTCCACCTTTATGTCTATTTTTTATGAAACAAAAATGTTAAGTACAGCATAAAGACAGGCATTTAAAACACATCCATCACCAAAGCATTTAAGGGATTTGCTAACCAGTTCTTTGAACAATACTGGCAGGCAGACAAGCAATAGTGAATGTCAGAGGTTAAGTAGCTATTTAGTTTTTAGACCCAAAATGCAAAAGGAGCATTAGATTGAGAATAAATAGTAATTAATACAAATATAAGGATTCATGAGAGGTAGTAGTGGCCAATGCTTTTGATGCAGAAAAGTTTCATTCAGATGAAAAGCCTGGAAATCAACAGAAGTAGCACTTATTACTTGGAATATATACAGCAATCCAAAGTGGCTGTGCTACATCTGGAATAAAGCAAGAAACTGAGAGAACATTCACATCATTCCTCATATGAATGCCTTTATTAGTTATTATTCCAGATTCTGAGATTTTATCTTGGAAATGTGCAAATAACACTGCCAACCATGAAAACCTGTTAAAGCAAGATCTTGGTAGAAGATTCATCAAAAAAAAAGTTTCTGCTTTCTTACATATCAAGCTGTGATGACCGTGAAGGTGAGGGAGCCACTTCTGTATGAGAAGGAGGCCATTCTTCAACGAAAAAATGGGGAAGAGGTGCAAATGAATGCACTTCTGCATTCTGCAGAGGTGCAAATGAATGGCCTCCTTCTTTGCAGGCTCATATAAAACACTAGACTGTCTGAAGACCTTTTCACTCTCATCTGACCTTCAGTGTCACAAATAACACCGACATGACATGTGAGAAAATTTATGGCAAACTGCAGGTCTGCAAGTTGTTGTTTTTTCCTACAATGGGGTACTATACCCAACTCCAGCAACAAACATGTTAAAATGTATTGGACACAACTCCGTAACTTTAAGTGCAAATGTCACAAGAGAAGAAAAGAAAATTTCCCACTTGGACACTTTGGTGCAACAGCAAAGTTTCCTCCTATAATTGGAAGAAACTTCAAGCTAACAACCCTCACTTTGGAAATGACAACAACCACCAGAAGAACACTGGGGAAAAGAAACGCACTAGGACCACTTATATGATCAAAAGTATTCATATCTGCGGGAATACTTTTTTGTCTTTTTCATTTTCTCATGGGGTGAGAAAAGTTTTGTTTTTACATATAGATATGACAAATTTAAAAGGCTTGCTTTTTGCTGCTCACATGCTTTTTAGTCTGCCCCACTGTGTCCTGTGTATCAACTGTCCAGCAACCCTGCACCACGCCACTGACGCACAGATCTGGGCCTGCGGTTTTCAACATCTAATGTTGTATTTAGGCATGGTTTATTGGTTTATTTAGACTTAAGTTCCGGATTCAGAGATGACTCCATGACAAATGTTCATAAGACAAACTATCCTTATTAGAAAATGAGTCAAAATTTTAAAACTTTTGGAATATTTTTCTAATTAGACAGATGGATAGTTTTTTTTTCTTTTTTCTTTTGGTGTTTGACATTATTGGAAAGTTTAGAATACACACTTTTAGAATCTAAATAACCCAAAACATCTCTATGGAGACTCCCTAGTTTTGTCATGGCTTTACAAATATGTTCTTATATTGCAATTCGAGAAATCCCTTTTGGCTAAAATTGATAAGAGCATGGTAAAGCTTAGAAAAATCTGAATCATAAATTGGCCTCACAATTAGTGCACGTCTACTTCAAACTCCTGAGATCTTAATTTTACTAGTAAAATTTCAGTTTGCTCTCTGTAGACAAATTAAGCTTAAATGCTCTTATTACTGATAACATATCTATAAAATAATTAACTGTAATCAAGCAAAAATCAACATCTTCTACTAAAAGAGATCATTTTTTCCTGGACATGGCCTATTTCCAGTGACAAGATAAGATGATTAGATCTTGTCAATAAAAAAAAAAAGAGAAAAGGCAGGTCTGGATGGATCTGCTGACCTGTTTTGGAGGGAAAAACAAAATCAGATATCTGAAAAACACAACTACTCTTTATTTCCCTCAGGACTCTTACATCAGGCGAAAGACAGGCTAGAGTGTTTTTTTTAATTTATTTAGAGATATGTCAGCATCATAAAAAGAGAGTCTTATGGGTATTATTTCTACGACAGTACCTCTGATCCAATTCCCTGTTTTTCCTCATTACACAAACAGTGGTTCTCACTAGAGTACAAGATGCTAACATTAGTCTGATAAGTTCTTTTTTTTTTTTGAAAGCGTAATCTTCTCCCTGCACAATTGGATAAGCAGTTCTTTGTTGTCAGTTTCAGCAGCGTGTCTGGGTGCGTCTGTGTGTTCGAGGTAGCGAGTGTGAAACACAAAGACAGCTTTTCAGAGACGGCGCTTGCACATGTTCCTCTGAGGGAGACGGAATCCATCACTACAGTGACAAATCGTGTCATCCCACCACGCTGGTGATGAATAACAACGGCATCTTTCACGTTCACTGACACACTGACTGGCGTTAGCTGACATCGGGGATCTGGCAGAGATGCATGCATGACAAACACTACAGATCCATACATATATAGCCACTGTCTGTCTGCTTTTCTTGATTACATAACCGTTATCTCTGTATCCGCTTATCCTAATAAACAGTCAATAATGTCTGTGTGCTTTCAGAAATCAATCTATGCAACCAGGTTTGAAAACCACAATTCTGAGGATGAATTTGCCAATTTGATTCTTTTCAAACAGTTTTTCTTCACTGTCTTTTAATTGACAAACAAAACTAAATCTAAGGTTTGTTGAACTCTGTTTTTATTGGTCAGATGTGACTACTGAGCATTGACCAAGAAATACTCCAGGTGGATGAGGTGTCCACCGGGCAATGTGTGGACAGAAAATATCATCAGGCATTTTAGCTGAATAACACCGTGTGGTAAAATCTTTGATTTTATCCTTCTTTCTTAACATCACACTCCCCTGACATAATTCCAAAAGAAATGTTTTGAAGAGACTAGAGCATAGAAAAGGATGCCAGGACTCTGGGTGATCAACAGAGATTGTGCAAAAAGAAAAAGAAATATATATATATATATATATATATATATATATATATATATATATATATATATATATATATATATATATATATATATATATATATATATATATATATATCACAAAGTTTTATATATATATATAAATATAAATATATATATATATATATATATATATAATATATATATA